TGTGATAAGATTTGTATGAGCCCCTAATAAAACAATTAAAAAAAACCCCACCCAAACCAAGTAATCAAATTAGCATCTTAATAGATAGTACTTAGCTCCAAATGTGATACCCTAGGAAGGATTGTACATTAATTATGAAGTATTCCAATAAAAAAATGCATGAAGATGACAAAACATTACAAAGACTCAAGTTCAGGACACTCCATAAAATAAGTGGCCTGTGTGATTAAAAAATATAAATGGTGTAAAGACAAAGAAATTCTGAAACCTTTTCTAGATTAAGAGAGACCGAAGACTACGTGATCCTTGACTGGATCCTGACTGGGGGAAAAATGCTATAAAGAGTATTATTAGGATCATGATGAAATTTGAATATGAACAGTAGATTTAGAATGTTTGCTTAATAAGTGCTTACACAAGTAAAAGAACTTTCATTCCAAGAAGCCATGATCTTTCCACAAAGTCTAAGGAAATGAATTAATGCATATATATATACATGAGCGAGAAGTTGGTAAGACTAATGTGGTGAAAGTGTCTAGAGCATTAAAGATTAAAAAAAAATAACTTATTTTCCATCGGCTTGGGTCTTCATGTGATTTTCCAATAAATAGTTCAAGTTTCTAAAACTGAACAGAAAACTGTTTAGAATCCAAAGGAAATAACTAGAAAAGTTAGTTACTTATAAAAGGGCTTTGATCCATAATTCTTATAAAAATGTCTAAAAACACACGTCATACTGCTCTTGAATTTTAATGACACTAATAGTTTTATTTAACCAACATCGAGTAACTACTATGTGCAAAGCACTATGCTTGATGCCATGAAAGATACAAAGATGAAGACAAAGTCCCTGCCCACAAGGAGCGTATAATCTAGTGGTGGTGGTAGGTGGATAGACAAATATACAAATAACTAGAATACAAGGCAGTAAACAAGAGTGGACAAATTGCTGAGTGTGGCCTGAGTGTGCTACCAACTAGCATCAAGGTTCCAATTGGAAACAGTGGTGATGTGTTATTGGCTGCTTTGGAAATCATCTCATGATGGACATAACTGATGGTTAAATGGTCTTCTCCAAGCAATTGGAGGTAAGAGAGTCGGTCTGGTGGGGGGCTATTTGAAAGCACGGTCACACCTACATACATAATGCTGGTAACAAAGTATGTAGGTGCAACTAAAAACGAACTTATATATATATATCATCTGTCCTTTGGTTAATGGCTATAGCTACTGTTTAAACAATATACTTTTATATAAAAAGTAATTTGTATAATCTCAGAAATATCAACTTAAGGGTTAATTCAAGAAAGAATCCTGCCATAGGCAATTTTCTTATTTACTAATTAAGTCTTTTTTCTAAGTATCTATAAAGCTCTGTAGCAATTAAACTGTTAGACATCTAAGTATTGCTGAGTAAAACCTCTTATGTTCAGCCTTCTGAAGGAAATGATCATATACCTGATATAACACTATTTTGATAGCAACAAGAAGGCCTTAAAGAGATTTAAGGAAAATAATTTTAATGCTTCAATGCAAATGGAATACACTCTGATTAAATACAATTCAATGTCCTCTGAAAACATCTCAATGACAGTATTTAATACCTGTTAAGGCCAGCAAAATTGAAGTGAGGAAAATATTATATGTCTTGTCTTTCATTGGTTTCAGTAACATTGCCTATGACCTATGGTGATGTAATCTTTTCTCTGAAAGTTCCACTGATGAGCTTTGATTTGTTTTAGCTCACAGGCTAATAACAGCGGCCGACCATTTCCTCTTGATAGTCTGTCTGAAATAACTGACACATTTCCTGCCAGTTATTCCTACTTCCTGAACTGGAGGGTCCACTCCTTAGCCTGTCTCCTTCAGTGTGTCACTGTGATCCTGCGTCCTCTGCTGTTTTCTCTCCAAGAAACGAGCACGTGCATCTGATATGGATTTATCATCATTTCGTTTTTGCATTTTCTTCAAGACTTCTTTTGATAGCCCATCTAAAAACATTACAATAGAACAAAATTTTAGTTTCTGATGTATTATGAGAAGTATTAACAGAAAGAGCTGTCCTGATTTTTAAAGTTAAAAAGTAAAGAGAAAATTAAAATTTTCCCTTTCAAGAAAAATGATGCTAGGAAAAAATAAGCACACACAGACCAAAAGAGTTAGAAAAATTGAACCAAACTCAAGTACCTAGTATTTAACATTGTCATAACATTGCAATGAAACACCTACTGGCTACCAGTGAAAGAGTCTATGTTGTCTTGGGCAAAATGCCTCAACATTCTGTTTATCACTGATGTTAAATAGAATAACACAATCTTCTCTATTATTCAGCCTCAAAATGTTTTACTAAAAAACTTTTTGTACATGTAACCTGAAAAGTAAGCTTTCTGTCCCCTTCCTAGTTTGAGCCCTGGTGGCATAATGGTTATGCATTGGGCTGCTAACTGCAAAGTCAACTGTTTGAAACCACCAGCCACTCTGAGGGAGAAAGACAGGGTCCTCTACTCTGGTAAAGAGGTACAGTCTGGGAAAGTCCCAGGGGCAGTTCTAGGGTCACTCTGAGTTGGCATCGACTTGATGGCAGAGTTTGGTTTGGTTTGGTTTTTGGTGCTAGTTCAGCACCACAAATATTTATGCCTCCAAATAAAAGACCTAACATGTCATGGAGATGGGAAAAAGGAGGTTCTGAGGTAGTAACTCACAACATAAACAGAAATAAAGGACTACTAGGAGGCAGTATGACTAACTGATTAAGAATACAGGCTCATAAGTCAGATTCCTTAGATTTAAATTCTAGATCCACCATTTATTAATAATGGAAGTTTAGCAAATTAGTTTACAATGGCAAGTTTCTATTTGTTCATCTATAAAGTGAAGATATAAACTTACCCCATAAGGTTGTAAAAATTCAGTAAGATAATGCAAGTTTTAAAAAGGTGAGAAAAATGCACAAGTTCAGTGATTAACACATGGCACAAGCTCAACAGGTACAGCTTTTAGTCACTGTCAATGTATAGATGGGTTAAGGAAAATCTGGTTCATTGTATGGAAAAAGTGGAAAGTCAAAATGATTTAACTCTGGGATTTAAGAGAAGCCTTTGCTTACTGAGGAGACAGTATTACTAAGTCATCTAACACTATTACAGTAATTATATGAAAAATCAGACATTTAAGTTTCCTAGAACTAGTGAGTCACTCACCCTTAAGCTGCTTTACATTTTCTTTATTTGTCCATCTCCTTCTTGCATCTTCTCTTGCTTCACGCCGGGCCACACTGCTCAGATCATGTGCATTAAATTCATGTAACTTGGGTAACAAATCTCTTACCCACTCATAACGAATTGGACACACAATTCTTGCATAAACTTTGGTGGTAACTAATACTTCATGAAAAATGATCCATTCAAGTTTAGTTTCCTGTTCATGAAGCTGTAACAAAAGCACTCACTTAAGGATAGCTCCATAATTTGCCTTATTCAAAATAACAAATAATTGTCCACATCTGCTGAATTACTAGCTTCTTCAATCAAACAGGAGGTATAAGCCCAACAATACACTTACAGGTCTGTATAATAAAATTAACCAAAATCTAACCTCAAAGCAAAAAGTAAAAAGAGAAACAACGGCATATTACTTAATTCTACATTTTCTAAATCCCCTCCCACTGGAAAAATAAGGTACTTACTGCGGAGGAAGGATGAATGTGAACGGGGCTTCCACGTCCATCCATTGTGCAAAACGTTCGCCCAACAGATCTGTCAGAACCACCAAAGAACGATAAAACAAGCATGGTAAAACATGAAATAAGTAATGTGTTAAGTCCAACAATGATCAATTTTATCTACAACAGAAAGGCTTAATTTCATTTAACTGTTACTTTAATCAGTTCATCTTAAACTGATATGGTATAGTCACTCAAATTAAGTATAACTATTTCTGATCAATAAATAATACCAATATCTTATTTGTGCTTTAGTGTTTCCATTGCTAAGCCTCAAAACAAACAAACAAACAAACAAACAAACAAACAAACAAACAAAAAACAACCCCCTTTAAGTGAGATTTGAAAGCCAGGCACTTCAATAACCTAAAAACATCTATTCAAATAAATTAGCTGGCCTTCTCAACTTAACAGAGCTAATGCATGGTGCAACTAAGCCCCCAATATAAGCCTTCATTCTTAAATAAAGTTGTCTTTATATTATCTTATGCTTCACCTCCTTTCAAAGGTGGTTTTTTTCTTCTAAAACAGTGGTTCTCAACTTGTGGGTCGTGACCCCTTTGGGGGTGTGTGTGTCAAACGACCCTTTCACAGGGGTCGCTCAATTCATAACAGTAGCACAATTACAGTTATGAAGTAGCAATGAAAATAACTTTCTGGTTGAGGGGTCACCACAACATGAGGAACTGTATTAAAGGGTCATGGCCTTAAGAAGTTTGAGAATGACTGTTCTAAAATCTAAATGTTAGAAATATTTGGGAGGGTATGGAGGGAGGGGGAACAATGAGCTGATACCAAGGGCTCAAATAGAAAGAAAATGTTTTGAAAATAATGGGAATATATGTACAAATGTGCTCGACACAATAGATGGACATATGGATTGTGATAAGCGCTGTAAGAGTCCCCAAGAAAATAATTTTAAAAGAAATATTCACCCATCATTTTTCTAATTCATGTCCTTAATTTAAAATTCCTATCTTCTACACTTCCTGATATAAACCTTAGATCTATCAAAATAACAGCCCTAGTTCAATTATCACCATAACTGATTTCCTATAGTACTTTACACATATTCCTAGTATAGTGCAGATGAGACTGCAATATAATTATTTACCCACACATACATGGGGGTACTAAAAAAAACCCAGAATTTTTTCAAAACTATGTATTTAATTAAAAAAAAAATCATTTTACTGGGGACTCGTGTAACATTCCATGCATCAATTGTATCAAGCATATTTGTACATATGTTGCCATTATTTTCTAAGCAGTGACTTTCTATTTCAATCCGTGTTATCAGCTCCTCTTCTTTCTCTCCTTCTCCACACCACCCTCCCATCCTTGTGACCCCTTGATAAATTATCCTTTTCATATCTTACAGTGACTGCTGTCTCCCTTCCCCATTTCTGTTGTTCAGCCCCCTGGTAAGTTTTTTTTTTTTTTTAACAAAACAACCTTATCACCTTCAAAGTACTCTCTACTATACTTAATACATTTGTCAAATCCGTGATTCCATTTTTGGAAACATTTTTCAATCTGTTGGCATGGCTGACAGTGCCTTCCTCGTTTTTTTCTTCACCTCTTCAAAGTTTCAAGTCCCTGTCCTTTCATGTCCCTCTTCATTTGCAGAAACAAAAAGAAGTCGCATGGAGTGAGGTCAGGTGAGTAAGTTGTGTGGGGCAAGAAAGGCATGTTGTTATTTTGCCAAAAAATGGTGCACTGAGATGGCTGTGTGAACAAGTGCATTGTTGTGGTGGCAAAACCAGTCCTCCATTTGCCACAAATCAGGCCTTTTTTGTTACACCCTGTTACGCAATCATTTTAGGACTTCTAAATCGAAAGCTTGATTAATAACCTGACTTGATGGAATGAACTCCAAATGCACTACGAATTGACACTTCCATCTGTTAGGAAAGTTGATGGACATCCAGAATGAGGTTTCTCATTGATTGAGAAAACCACTCGTATATTTGAGTTTTTTCCATTTGTCCTTGTAAGCTGTGTTCAACATCACAATCTCAACTTTACAGGAAAGATACAGGTATCATTCAAAGAGCTTCTTTTACTCGATCCATTGGGAAGTAAGTTGCTGATATGATGCCTCATCATCCCTACACTGACATTCACCTGCCAAAATACACCCATTAAACCACTCCATGAAATTAACACTGACATATTCACTAACACCTAATTCTTTGACCCCACTAAAGTGTCACCAAATGTACTTTGGTGGCATCCTTTATAACAAAAGGATGTAGTTCAGAGTCATGCACTGCTCATGCTTTTAATGTCTCTTTAGTTTCCTCCGGTCTGGAAAAGTTCTGTCTTCCCTTGACTTCCATGATCTTGATCCTTTTTAAGATTTTGTAGTACATTACTCAATTTGAGTGTCTGTTTCAGATTGGTTAGATTCAAGTTACACATACTTGATAGGAATAACATAGAAGTGATGCTGTTGTTGTTCTTACTGCATCCTACCAGGAATAAGTACCTGATTTCAACTTGCTCCATTGCTAATGATTGCTTGACTTAGGTAGTATCTGACAGGTTTCACTCTACAAGTACCTTCCCCCCTTTGTGGTTGGTAAGAATTTTTTGTAGAAGTGCTTCATTACATATATCTATTCCTCATTAAACATTTAATTTATTCATTTAATAGTTCATACCATTATATGCCTACAAATTTCACAGTTTATTCAATGAGATTTAATTCACTCGTCCTAATTTACTTTGTTTCAAAATGTTCCATAAACATCCATCTGGGGTCTCCAAGTGGGCTTTTGTGTATTCCTCGCATTCCCTAAACCTTTAAGCATTTGGTTGCCCAGAGTCTTGTGCTTTTTCAGCTCCATTTCCCCAAGAAGCCCTGATTCCATGTAGATGGCAAATGGTTGCTAAAATCAAGAGCAAAGGTCAATGTGTATATAAATCCTTACACACACAAATACGTTACACATACACACATTTATTTTCATTTCTAGATCTACCCATTCACCCATCTACACTGAAAATCATTAAGTTGAAAATAATAACTCTGAAATTCCAATTCAACACCATAAGGGTTCTTTCTGGTTTTTCCCCTTCCTATACAAACATCCTTTACCATTATCCTTCCTAACACCCTTTACCATTATCCTTAATATATTTGTTTGATCAATTCCTCTGTATACAACCAATCTCCCATCAACACCACTGCCACTCCCTTCTAACAAAATACTTTCCGCACCATACTCAGGTTCTGACATTGTACACTAGTTTCCCTTGTGTGAATGCCCTACCACCCTACTCAAGTTCTGACATTCCACAACAATTTGCCCTTCCTCATGGAGGCTGTGTTAGGCTGGGTTGTCTAGAGAAACAAAACCAGTGATCTTATATATGTATAAGGAAGAACTCTTTATCAAGGAGTAGTTTTATATTAAGAAGGAATCCCAGACCAGTCCAATTGAAATCCATGCTAGCTGGAGCCCTCTTCAAACAGATATAACTGCAGGGTGGTGATGCAGAAAGGTGAAGTGGGATACAGAACGATCACAGGCAAGTGGGTGTGGAGTAGCACTGATCTAAGTTCAATGGAGAAATGGCAGGGCGCCAATAGCTCTCAGGGCTGGGCAGGCCAAAAGAGGCCACCCTTAGAGGCAGGCACAGAGTCCCAGCAAGTAGGAAGATGAAGAAGAGAGAGAGGGGAGGGGTCCCCAGTGTCTCTCTTATAAAAAGGCCACTGTGTTAGGACACACAATCAGGTTATGACCTGATCAACAGGTTGGACTCCACCTTATACAAGTGTGAGTTAACATCAAATCTAGCTGCCACAGATGCCCACTCCACCTGTTTGGCTTCCACACTTCACACAGGACCACACCTTTGTAAGAAAACCTTTCTACTCAACGTAGGTACTAACACCCCAGGCTGAACAACCCTCCTACATAGATGCCCCCTCTAAGTTTCTTGAGTTAAACACCCAATACTAGGCCACTGCAGTGCCCTATCCCCTGCCAGTGACAATTATGAAAAGGGTCACTAGGATTTGATATCATTATCACGCAGCCTGAATTAAACCTTTAATTAGCTCAAAATAGCAGTCAAATACAAGCATCTCTCTTTGTCAATAGTCCCAGCTCACATTACTGACCTTCGAGCTACGTTTTTGAAATAGCCAGCACAAAGACATCTTCGTAGTACTTCATGCTTAGGACCTTCAAAGGTCTCTCTTGGGAAATCACTTTGCTATAAAAAGAATATAAACACAGGAATAAATTTCACAGAATAATTTCCAATAACCTTTTACTTTGAAAAAATCCACATTCCTAAAGACTTGTGATACTGGCTAAATAGTAAAGAGATATACTCTTCTATCTGAGACTACCAAAAAATTGACAAAATACATTAAATAATTGTTTCCAAAGTACAATACACACATCAAACAACAATGATCCTTAAGAGATGGAAAATAAATAAGTCCTACAACTGCTCCACCTCACAGCCTTGACATTTTGGGCCAAGGCACAGGGAAATATAGCCCAAAGGGAAGCCAGAAGTGTTCTTGAGTTAAGAAGATGGAGAATCCAGAAAGGCCAAGGTGCTAGTGTTTACAGTGGGCTTTCCTGCAAATGTTCAGGAAAGCTACCAAAAGGATAAGTTTTCAGTGTTCATACAGTGCTAGGAAGAATAACTTGTCCTTAACAGTCGGACTAGAACACCTCATAATTCACATGGCACACAGCTGGAGAATAACTAGCTCTATGCTGAGCTCTGGTCTATGCTGTGAACTCACCTAATATATATATATCTTAAAGCAAATCTGAAAGAATTAAATAGCTTTCAAATAACTGCATCCTAGAACAAATCCCAAGAGTATTTGTCTGAATACAAAAATATCTAGCAGCCATCAAGGTAAAATTCCATGTGTGACATCCAATAAGAAACTATAAGACACACATGATAACATAAACAAACTAATTAAAACCAACCCAAAATTGATATATATTTTAATTATATTTAAATTATAACTGAAATTATATGTGAATTACAACTGAATTACTTACATTCAAAAAGTTAAGTAGAAACAGGGAGATACTTTTTACACTTGATCTTAGCCTAAAGGCCGAGAAGCGATAGGGAGACATTTTTTTATAGAACACTCAGGCTAAAAACTAGAGATGAAAACTATAACACTTGAGATAGAAAATATACTCAATGAGATTGATGGCAGATTAGGTATTGCAGTGAAAAAGATAAGGGAACTTAAAGACAAAGTAATAGAAAACATTCAAATAAAAATAGGGGAAAATGGAACATTTTAAAATGCCTTAAAAATTAAAAGACAACTTTAGGAAGCATTAAATTCATGTAATTTGAGTTTATGAAAGAGAACGAGGGCAGAAAAAATATTTGAATATGCAACAGCTAAAATTTTTTCAAATTTAGTGAAAATTATAAACCCATAGATCTAAGAAGCTCAACAAATATGAACAAAAAGAAACAGTAAGAAAAAGACACCAGGCTATAGCATAATCAAATCTGTTCAAACTAGTGATCATGAGAAAATCTTCAAAGTAGCGGACAAGAGGTAGGAGTAGGGGAGACACATTACAAAACAGAAATAATGAAACGATGATAGCAGATTTCTTAACAAACAGAACTGAAGCTAAAAGATAGCAGTGTGACATATTTAAACTCCTAAATATCCAGTGATATTATGACTATTTGGAAACAAAGGTCGAAAAGAGAATTCATCACTAGTAAACTCATACTACTAAGAAATAGAAGACAGTCTTCATGGCTGATCTTTGGATGGAAGGAAAGTAATTGGAGATGGAAATGTAGATCTACACAAACAAAAGAGCACTAGAGAAAAGGGAAGTACAAGTTAAGTACTTATTACTTAAGTCTCTGTAAGATAGTAAACTGTTCGAGCAAAGCAAAAACAAGGCAATCTAGGGCTTATTACTGTGTTTGCTTTTGGTGCAATCATTGGATCACTAAGTCATAGCGACAATAGAATGAAACACTGTCAACTGTGTGACAATTTTCACCCAGGAGTCAGGAGATGAGAAATGAAAATACAGAATTTTCACTCATAGCGACCCTTGAGGTTACAAATGTAGGGTTACAGCAAGGGCTGTGGCTCACAAGTTTCAAGCTACTCCGTGTGTAGCTTATAGTCCTGACCTTGCCCCTTTAGAGTTCTTGTTTCCCAAACTCAAAGCTTATTTCAAAGGGACATGATTTGAGTACCCTGAAGATGTCAACAACAACAAAAAATTAAATACTTGTACTGGGGGCTCTTACATCTCTCATCATAATCCATACATTCATCTATTGTGTCCAGCACATTTGTACATGTTGCCATCATCATTTCTACTCGAGCCCTTGATATCAGCTCCTCATATTTCCCTCCTCCCTCCCCACAGTTCCTCCTTCATGAACCCTAGATAAATTATAGATTATTATTTTCATATATTACATTGTCCTGTCATCCTTCACCCACTTTTCTGTTCAAAACTGGAGTTTTTTTTAAAAACTCAATTTACTGAGGCTCATACAATTTATCACAATACATAGATCAATGGTGTAAAGCACATCTATACATTTGTTGCCCTCATTATTCCCAAAATTCGCTTTCCTCTTGGGTTCCCGGAATCAGCTCATTTTCCTTTTTTCCCCTCCCCCTCCCTTCCTCCTCCCCTCTCCCCCATGTACCCTTGATAATTTATAAATTATTATTGTATCTTATATTACACTGCCCGGCGTCTCCCTTCACCCACCCCTCTGCTGCCCGTCCCCCAGAGAGGAGGTTATATGTAGCTCCCTGTGATCAATTCCCCTTTTCTACACCCTCCTTCCCTCCTGGTTTCGCCACTGTCACCCCTGGTCCTGAGAGGTTCATCTGTCCTAGATTCCCTGCATTTCCAATTCCCATCTGTACCGCTGTGCATCACCTGGTCTAACCAGGTCTGCAAGGCAGAATTGGGGTCCTGGTAGTCGGGGGGAGGAAGCGTTTAAGAACTAGAGGAAGGTTGTGGGTTTCATTATTGCTATACTGTACCCTAAGTGGCTCATCTCCCCACTACCCCTCTGCAAGGTATGTCCAGTTGTCTAGAGATGGGCATTGGGTCTCCATCATGCGCCACCCTCATTGATGAGGATATGACCCCCCCCCTTTTGGTGTTTGAAGCCTGTTCCCTTTGGCCCTTCATGATCACACATGTTGGTGTGCTGCTTCCATGTGGGCTTTGTTGCTTCAGGGCTAGATGGCCGCTTGTTTACTTTCAAGCCTTTAAGTCCCCAGACACTATAGATCTTGATAGCCGGGCACCATCAGCCTTCTTCGCCACACTTACTTATGCACACATTCGTCTTCAGCGCAAAACTGCAGTTTTGATATGGTAGAAGACTCTAGGAAATGTAAACTAATATACAGTGTGGAAAACAACAGATCAGTGGTTGCCTGGGTAAGGGGAGGAGGAACCCAGGAGGCAAAATAAAAGGATTACAGAGGGGTATGAGGAAATTTGGGGAGAGAGAAATCCATTATTTTGATTGTGATGAGTTACATGAGTATATACAGTTATTAAAACTTATCAAATTTTAACCTTAAATATATGTAATATACTGTCTTCAATTATACTTTATTAAAAATTCCTCATTTCTCCAGATAACATTCCTTTATTAACACTAGGAATCTTTCCTAGGGTCAAAGAAGTTGGCTAAATGCAGTAATAAATAGAAAACGGGAAGAGTGATCAGGAAATAACTAAACACCAATGAAAATTGATTGTAAAATACAGATGCCAAAATGCAACTCATGAAAAAAAGAACAAACCCTTTTATAACAATCACCTGCTTAAGCTTTCTGATGAGTTCTCTAAGTTGAGCTTCCACACGAAATGCAGACAATAAGCACCTCCAGTGAATCCAGTGTTTCTGGCACCACGAGGCTGGAGCTCCACTGCAAGACAAAAACACTAGTGTCTCTCAGAGATCTTCTCCATGGAGATTGTGCAATACCACTGGACGTGATTCAACCGTGGAATGAGATGCTATCCGTATTAACTGCCAATAAAATGGTTTGGGGGGAAAAACAGAAGAAAAGAAATCTTCTATAAATGAAAAACTGTCTGGAAGTCTCATTTCTATTACAATGTTGGGAATCCATAAGCAACTTGCCAGCTCCTTTAAAAGACTTGTCCAAGTACTGAGAAAGCACTTCTCGGAATCTGAAAAAGCAATTAGGTTAATGCAGATGGCCTATGGTTGAATTTAAAAAATAATTTGCAAATGGATTTATTTTTATATATAGGCTTTAACAAATATTTGATCATTTTCTCTTGTAATCTACTCAAACAAACACAATTCTGTGGAGCCATTTTCAGGAAAGCCCGGGAACAAAACAAACAGCACATGCATATCAAATGAAAATCATGTGACAGAATTATGGTAATATGTAATATTAACAAAATGCTTTGGTTCATTATCATCCCCACAGAAATTGAAGTGTCTGAAACCACACAGTAAGTAGATGTTGGAACTATGCTTCACACTAACATTTTCCAATACATAGGACTACATCACGTACCTTGATTTGCACTGTTCAAAGATGACGGCTAAAGTTGCAAAATCATTAAACCCTCCAGCCTTAGCTGCCAATTCTCGATGCTTCTGTTCTGCTTCCTTCTGGTATTCAGGATCAACTATGGGCATTGGAAAATCAATTTAGTTCTACTTTACCTTCAGTGCTTTAGTTTATTAAAGTGTATGAAAATATTCCTCATTCTCTAGGATAAAATAAGATGGAACTAAATTAACTCATTTTCAGGTCCCTCAAGTTGATTTTTGACCCGTAGTAACCCCGGGTGACAGGGTAGAAATGTCCCATACAGTTTTCTTGGCTATAATCGTTATAGAAGCAAACTACAGTGAACCCTCGCTACTTCGTGCTTCGACTTCCACGGCTTCACTCTATCGCGGTTTTTGCGTAACAGCGCATGCTCTGTCATTACTGCCACTGATTGGCTCATACTGTACACGCTTCTGTCTGCATCGCTACGTATCGGAGCTATGTATCAGATTGCATTTTTGCTTTTGTACAGTGTACTGTAATTGTTTGCGATTTTTAAGAAATTTTATCTAAGCCCTATGATGGCTCCTAAACGAGCTGCTTCTTCTAAGCCTTCTGACAATAAAAATAAGCGCCAGAGAAAGATGCTCACCATCCAGGAAAAGGTAAAACTTTTGGATATGATCAAAGATGGCAAGAAAATCGTGGAGGTTGCACGCCATTTCGACTTGAATGAGTCTTCCGTTCGCTCCATCCGTAAAGAGGAAAAAAACATCCGTGCTACGGCTACTTTCACTTTCAACAAGGGAGCAAAGCGCATCGTGACAAGTCGTAATAAGTTCATAGTAAAAACGGAGTCTGTCCTAGCCGTTTGGATCAATGACAGGCGCAAGAAAAACATTCCGTTGGATTCGATAGTCATCCGGGAGAAGGCAAGGTAGCTCTATCAGCATTTTACAGCAGACAAACCTCAACCAGAATCCTCTTCTGCAACGTTCGTGGATTTTACAGCGAGCAAGGGTTGGTTCGAAAAGTTCCAGAAGAGGTATATGAAGGTAGAGACGACAAAGGCCAGCTGGAAGAAGTTGTGGCCTGGAATTGTCCAGGAATCTGGAGAATTCACCCTAGAAGAAGTCAGAAACTCGGCGGTGGATAACACAGTGAGACTAGCCCAGATGCTGGAAGGAGAAGGTTTCAAGGATATGAACCATGATGATGTATTTGAGGTGCTGGAGTCTTCAGATCATTCAAATGATGAGAATTTGGTGGAACTAGCTAAGTCTGAAAGTGAGGAGGCGACGGAAGAGCAGTCAGAGGTTCCTGAGGATCATGAGGAGTTAGTTGGCCTCACAATGGAGCGTCTCTAGCATATCGTAAGAACAATCAAAGAAGTTCAGGACACGATTGAAGAATGGGATCCATAAATGAATGGTGCATTACGGTTCCGGAATGCACTCGATGGGGCAATGGAACCCTACAAAAACCTTTTCACTGAAATGAAGAGACAACGTCGGCAACTACCAATCACAATGTTTCTTAAACGTATACCCAGAAACTCACTGCCTACACCCACTCCTTCAGAGGAAAAAGACGGCGACCCACCTGTAGAGTACATCCCTTAAGTCATTTCATAGGCTATTGATTACAGTATTTGTAAGAACTATGTATAATAATACTGTATGTGAATATGTAATACTGTAAACTAAATGCCATAAATAATATAATAAATAATAAATGATAATTGTACCGTCCAAAATGTTTTACTGTATTTCCCCTTTTTTGTCTAATAAATTGGGTAATACGAGTGTAATGGTGACTAAAGGGTGTTTTTTCATGTCCTCTATGCTCTAACTACGAAAATATTTGATTTACAAATAAGGAATCCTACTTCGCGGAATTTCATTTATCACAGTAGGGTCTAGAACTGATTAACTGCGATAAACGAGGGTTCAGTGTACTAGGTCTTTCTCCCGCACACCTGCTGAGGGTCATACCACCAACCTTTTTCTTAGTAGCTGAGTGCTCACTGCACGACTAGGGCCCCCTTTTCTTCCCAGGCTCTAGTTTCTCTCCAATTCCTTTACTTCTTTTAACCATACTTTAGATCAGGGGTCCGCAAACTTTTTAAACACTGTCCCTCAGACCCGTTGGAGGGCCGGACTATAGTTTAAAAAAAATTCCTATGCACAATGCACAACTTATTTTGAAGTAAAATACAAAACGGTACAAAAACACCCTGCGGGCTAGATAAATGTCCTCAGTGGATTTTTTTCATTAGTTTCATTGGATTTATGTTTTCATTAGTATTCTTATAAGAGTACGCTATGTTCACAAAATAATTAAAATGGTTTAATAGGACATAATGTCATTATTCCACATTCCTTCCTCACTTTGTCACCCAATCCCCAAGGCTAACCACAGCTAGTGTGTTTCCTTCCAGATATTTTCTCTGTAAGTACCAGCAAATGTATGATAATATTTCGTTTTTACATAAGCAAGACCTGTGTTCTATAACTTGCTTTACTCACTTAATAGAGGCATTCCATGTCAGTATGCACAAAATAATTGCATTGCCCAGGGCATGGGAAACCTAACATGATGTAACCAGTCTCTATTTACCCAATTTCTACTCATAAGGCCTTTAACCCCATGGATGCAAAACAGATCCTTTTATTTTTATATATTTTCCTTCAAAAGTATATATTGATATATATATAAGTATATATTGATATATATATAATACGCATATAGAAAATTGTTCAAACCATTACATGTATAGCTCAGTGAACATTTACAAATATAATATATAAATGTGCCTAATATGTAGATCAATAAACAGAATACCAGCATTCCAGAAACCCCCTTTAGGCCCTCTATCTAATAACTGCTCAATCCCCTCAACCTCACTACTCACTGCCATCGTATCAATTCTAACTCAGAGCAAACCTGTAGGACAGGGCAGAACTACTGTACTCCCTAGGATCTCCAAGGCTGCCAGTCTACATGGGAGCAGGCAGTCTCTTCTGTGAGTTCAAATTACTGAACTTGAGTTTAGCAATGTGTAACCCACTATGCCCTCAGGGCTTCTCATTCCCCTCTATATTCTGATTCAAGCAAATGTCCTGAGGGTATAAAGCTCCAGTTTCCTGGAACCCTAGGCTATGAAACTTCAAAGAAGTGTTCCAGTTCTTCCCTTCCCTGCCACCTAACAACCCATGAAACCTTTACTTTGGCTGTAAATACCTACCATCGTAATTTACACAGCTGTTTAATTTAATTAAGAAGCTGAAATAACTTCACAATAAATTTTAGTAGATTTTACTTTATACACAGTTTACATTGTAGAAGATAAACCGGGGTCAGCTTTAGATCTCTGTTCTTTAGGAGTGGCCCCCTGTTCACGCTTAAAAACATTTATTGAACACACTGCTTCCTTTCCAACCTGCTCACTCCTTCTCTCTTCCTCCTCCTCAGAGTAAAAAGAGCATTCTTACACGTTTTCCCTACTGCTTCCCTCAAAACTAAACAAAGTAATTAAAATGGAATCCCTACATTCCTGCATATCCCGATATAATCTAATAGCGTGAAAGAAAAAAAAAAAGGAAACGGACATAAGTGCCACAGTAAATTCACAGTTGTAAGTAAAGTCAAAAGCTATAGTACACAATTCTTATGGTCTTAGCAAGTTTCTCCTCTGAGTAAATGATAGTTTGATGATCTATTTTTATTTTCTTGTCTTTTGATTAGTATTGCCTTATGCAGATTGGTAGATGCTATTTAGTAAAAAAAATTAAAATATGAAGCTGAAGCAGCAAAACAGGCTAGATCAGCTGAACTTCC